ACTTGGAAGGCTGAGGCGGAAGGATCGCCGGAGCCCAGCAGGTCGAGGCTGCAGTGACCACGAACGTGCCACTGCACTCCAGCCTGGGCAACAGAGTGAGACTCCAACTCAAAAAATTATCCCAACTAAAAGTGCCCCAGGCAGGAGGTATCGTGTCCCAGAAATGGGATCATAAACACACTTCCAGGCGGCTGAGATGGAGTGTGTGACAGCGTCCTTGCAGCACAGAGGTGGACTTGGGGCCCGGGGGTTGAGGCAGGGGCAGCCTGTGTCCTGCCCAGGTGCCCCTGGGAGCACTGCGGCCCCAGCTCCTCTGGCTGGCCCGGCCCCTCCCCAGGCTCCGCAGTCCTGCATCCCAGGCCAAGCCAGGTCTCACGATCTCCAGCAGAGCCAAATACCCAGAACACGGCTCGGCCCAAGTTTCTAAGAATCGGCCTCCCAGCCGGCTGGCCCAACCTCCCCTTCCTGTTTTGAAGCAGCTCATGAGCACCCCAGGCAGGCAGGCTGGGTAATGTGGTCAGGTGGCTTTCGCGTGATCCCCCTTCCTCTGCCGCCCCCCCAGGCCACAGCCACTCTGTTTGTGCAAAAAACAGTGGCTGCCCCACCTGGCCTGGGAGCCCGTACCTTCATCCGCTCGTCGGCATTCACTTTGCTGCCCTGGATTAGCTCAATGCAGAACGGCTGCTCCAGGGACCACAGGGACACGGAGGAGGGCTGGGGGCAGGAGAACAGGGCTGTTGAAGTGGCTCAAAGCAGCCTGGTCTGGTGGCTCACACCTGTCATCCCAGCACTTTGTGAGGCAGAGGTGAGAGGATTGCCTGAGTCCAGGGGTTCAAGACCAGCCTGGGCAACCTGGTGAGACCTCGTTTCTACAATAAATCAAAAAATTAGCAGGGCATGGTGGCACATGACCATGGTTCCAGCTACTTGGAAGGCTGATGCAGAAGGATCACCTGAACCCAGTAGGTTGAGGCTGCGGTGGCTGTGAATGTGCTACTGCACTCCAACCTGGGCAACAGAGTGAAACTCTGAATCAAAAAAAAAAAAAAGTGGCCCAGAGCTCAGCTCATTCTTCTGGTGGATGACAAAGGCCTGAGGCCACTTGGCGACATGTGAGAGGGTCACAGGTTGAGGCCGGGGTCCGTGACTCAGCCTGTAATCCCACGCTTTGGGAGGCTGAGGTGAGTGGATTGTCTGACCCCGCGGGTTCGAGACCCGCCTGGGCAATTTGGTGAGACCTCATCTCTACAATAAATCAAAAAAATCAGCTGCGCGTGGTGCCTGTAATTCCGGCTACTCAGAAGGCTGAGGCGGAAGGATCTCCGGAGCCCACGGGAGCAGCCACTGCACTCCAGTCTGGGCGACAGAGTGAGACTCCAACTCGAAAAACAAAACAAAACAAAACAAAACAGGTTGGTAGCGAGGCTTGCCCTGTCCACAACACCATCCCTTACCAGAAAACCTATGAAAACTCAGAGGCTTCAGCACCCCTAAATTCTGCAGAGAAGGACAGCCTGCGAGCCAGGCCTGGAGGCTCCCATACCCTGACCCCCAGCAGTTGGGTAGGCCCCCAGCCCAGGCTGCTGTTTGTGTTGGCTTCTGGAGCTCAAAGCCCCAACCCTGCAGACCAACTGACCAACGGCCCCCAGTAGGCTCGGAGGTTAGACAACAGGCGAGAGGCCAGAAGGAGGAGAGGGGAGGTGGAAGGCGCCTTCTCACCTTCTTCACGGGAATTGGGGGGGGTTTGGTGCGCGGCTTCTGGACCTGGGGGGCGGGGTTGCTCTGCTCGTCCCGCATGGCGAGGATGGAAGAGGAGTGGACCATGGTCAGGTGGGGGGTCAGCCCGCTGTGCAGGCAGCTGCGGATGTACTGAGAGCAGGGTGCAGGGTGAGCTGCTGCTGGGGCACCCCAGCCGCTCTCTGGACCCCCACCCAACACTCCCCATCTCAGGTCTTCGAGATGGGGAGGGTCTCCTGGTTTTTCCTGCCCCGCCTCCCTCCTGAAGACAGAGCCCCTCCCTGGGCTCACAGGGGGCCAGTCCCACAAGGGCACGCTCTGGCAGTGACCCTAGCGGCCTGGCCTGTCAGGCTCAAGGTGCCCCCAAGGACCAGCTCCCCCACGCTCACCCGGGCCCCCGTGGGTGGTGGGGAGCCCAGGGCACAGAGGACCCCGTAAGGGCCTCACCTGGAACTGGCAGAGGGGGTAGCTGCCGTAGAGGTACTCGTGCCTGCCGTTCACCTGCAGCGTGTAGTCCTCCGGCTGCTCCACCGGGGGCTGCCGGAACACTGTGGCCTTCTTCCGGAGGGCACAGGCCATCAGTGCCAGGGGCATGTCCTTGGTGGACACCTGGAAGGTGAAGCTCTCCTGGGGGGAGGGGGGAGGTCAGCCCTCTGCCCTTGCGGCCCTGAGGGGTTCTGGGGTGCAGGGGCGGGGTTGTCTGAATAGGCAGCCCCATCCTTTGAATGTGAGCCCCCCTGAGAGCAGGATCTGGGGTTCACTGATGGCAGCACAGGCCAACACCCAGGAGATGCCTACTTGGTGACTTCCCATCACCCGGTGCCACTTGGTCATTCTGCCACGTCTCACCAGCCTGATGGGACGTTCAGTTCAGTCCCTCACATGCATGGACACTGAGCAAACACCTACTGCTGCTACTGCCAGGAGGGGACTTTGGGGAGACTTGTGGGCGACAGGAGTTTCAGGGTGGAGGCGTCTCTGCGGACACAGCAGCAGGCCACAGGCTCACCTCACTGCCCTCGAACTTGACGTTGACCAGCAGGGCACGGCTGGGCAGCCTCAGGCCGCCGGCCCCCCAGCTCCGTGCCGAGGGCTCCAGTTGCAGGGGGAAGCTGTATTGCAGCCAGGCCTCCCAGCCCAGCTGCTGCCGGCGCACGGCCGCCTCCTCGCAGAACTGGCGCATCTTGGCACGGAAGTCGTTCACTTCTGGGTCGCGCAAGGAGTCAAACTCATGGAGGCCTGTGTGGCGGGAGCGGCCGGGTCAGCACCGGGGGGCAGGGGAGGCCCAGCCCAGTGATGCAGCCTGCCTGGCAGGGCTACCTTTGCCGATGAGGAGGCTGATCTGTGAGTTGATGAGCTTCTTCACGCGGTCACCCTCACGGGCCACCAGGCGCAAGACAGGCAGGAAGGGCTGCACGTCACACAGCCGCCGCTGTTCGTCTTCCAGTTCCTGCTGTTCGGCTGTCTGGTTGACGCAGGTGAACACGTAGGCCTCGGGGCCACTGAGCATGTGGAAGAGCGGTTCATACTGCGCGCGGTGCCACAGCAACTGGGGGGACAGGCGCCGGTCAGCCTCTCCAGCCAGGGAGGCCGCTGGGAGGCCAGAGGCTGAAGGTGCGCCGGGGGCAGGCCTCCAGTCTGGGGTCCCACATGCCCGGACCTCCCAGAGCGCAGGGGTGAGCCCCAAGATCTGGATCCTCTGCAGACCCCATGGGTGCTGGCCATTTGGGTGGCCAGGCACCTCCATCACTGCCCGTCTGTGGAAGGCACCAGGGATGCGCTGAGATCTGGGGCTGGCCGCATGGCCTACAGGCTCCCCCCAAGAGTGCAGGGACCAGCCGAGGTGACCCCGAGAGATGGCTGGTCGTGACCTTCAAGTGCCACCCCCCGCCAGCTAATCATTCTGGGGTTCCTCACCCTGATCTTTAAATGTTGGCAACTGCCGAGCAGGGTGGCTCACGCCTATATAATCCCAGCACTTTGGGAGGCCAAGGAGAGATTGCCTGAGCCTAGGGGTTCGAGACCCGCCTGGGCAACTTGGCGAGACCTCATCTCTACCATATATCAAAAAATTAGCCAGGTATGGTGGCAAATGCCTGTGGTTCCAGCTATTTGGAAGGCTGAGGTGGAAGGATCACCTGAGCCCAGCAGGTCGAGGCTGTGGTGGTCGTGAGTGTGCCGTTGCACTCCAGCCTGAGTGACAGAGTGAGACTCTGACTCAAATAAGTAAATAAATAAATAAATGTTGGCAATTAATTAAGAAATGTTCTGTAATTCTAGCACTTTGGGAGGCCGAGGTGAGGGGACTGCCTGAGCCCACAGGCTCGAGAATGGCCTGGGCAACTTGGTGAGGAGTCATCTCTACAATAAATCAAAAAATTAGCCTGGTGTGGTGGTGCGTGCCTGTAATTCCAGCTACTTGGAAGGCTGAGGCAGAAGGATCACCTAAGCCCATCAAGTTGAGGGAGGCTGTGGTGACCATGAGCGTACCACTGCACTCCAGCCTGGGTGACAGAGTGAGACTCCAACTCAAAAGAAGAAAGAAAAAGAAATGTTTAGGCCAGGCCTGTGGCTCAAGGCTGTAATACCATCACTTTGGGAGGCCAAAGCGGGAGGACTGTGTGAGCCCATGAGCTTCAGACCAGCCTGGTCAACACAGGGAGACCTCATCTCCACAAAAAGTAAAAAAGTTAGCTGGGAGTGGCACAAGCCTATAGTCTCAGCTACTTGGGAGGCTGAGGCAGGAGGATCGCCTGAACCTAAGGAGGTCAGGGCTGCTGTGAGCTGTGTCTGTGTCACTGCACTCCAGCCTGGGCGACAGAGTGAGACTCCAACTCAGAAAGAAGGAGTGATGTCTAACCCACAGAGGAGGCCAAATAGAACTCACCAGGGACTGTGTTCTGCTCGGGCTGTCAGTGTGTGCCCTGGGGTGAAGGCCCCCAGCCCTCCACTGTGACAAGCAGAAGACAGGTGTTTGCCACCAAGTTACAGAGAAGACAGGAGAGGATAAAAGGGCCCAGTGCTGCTACTAACGGCAAAGCTAACTGTGGTCTGTCAAGCAATGAGACGACACGGAGCCAAGACAGAGTTGAGGAGACCTCTCTATATGGGCCTGGAGGGGTCCAGGGCATGGCATCAACTAATTAAGAAATGTTCTGTAATTTGGGAGAGACCCTCAAGTGATAGCACAGCAGATGTCATTCAAGCCCATCTCCATTAAAGAAATCCATAAGAAATATGCCATTTAACAGACAACAAGATCTGAGCTGGGTATGGTGGCTCACTCTGAAATCCTAGCACTTTGGGAGGCCAAGGCGAGAGGATTGCTTGAGCCCAGCAGCTTAAGGCCAGCCAGGGCAACATAACAAGACCTCGTATCTACAAAAAAAAAAAGCCAGGCATGGTGGTGTGCACCCATGGTCCCAGCTACTCAGAATGCTGAACTGGAAGGATCATCTGAGCCTGGGAGGTCAAGGCTGTCATGACTGTGTCACTCACTGTACTCCAAATTGGGCAACAGAGTGAGACCTCGACTCAAAACCAAAACAACAACAACAACAAAGAATATGTATATGTATACATATGGACCAAGATTTGCCACAGTTTTCCAGGTCAAATTCCTGGTTATTGTCACAAAGCCACGCCCCTTATTTATGTCTCTTAGGGCTGCTTTAGCCCGATAGTGGCAGAGTTGAACCACTGTGACAGATAACACAGAGCCAGCCAGCAAACACAGACCCTGGTATAAATAACAATATGGAGAAATTAAACCAAATTGAGGTGTGAGGTGAGATTTCGTGAACTGACATGTTTACACTTCTATAGCGTTTGAGTTTTAATAACCCATGCATGCAAAGCTCTAAGCAGAAAAACAAGACCGATTTAAAATGACATCTATAGAAAGCTAATAACATGAACAAGATGTTATAATATTAACTCAGAAAAGAAAAAAAAAAGGGCCAGGCATGGTAGCTCATGTCTGTAATCCCAGAACTTTGGGAGGCCAGGGTAGGAGGACCGTTTGAGGCCAGGAGTTTGAGACCAGCCTGGGCAACAAACTGAGAACCTGTCTCTACAAAAAATTTTAAAAATTAGCCAGGGACGGTGGCATGTGCCTGTCGTCCCAGCTCCTTGAGAGGCTGAGGTAGAAGGATCACTTGAGCCTGGGAGTTTGAGCTATTATTACCCTGCTGCATTCCAGCCTGGGCAATACAGCAAGACCCTCTCTGAGAAAGAAAGAAAAAAAGGTCATAGAATGATCAGGCTGGGCGTGTTGGCTCATGTCTGTAAGTCCAGAACTTTGAGAGGCTGAGGTGAGAGGATCATTTAAGACCAGGAGCCCGGGGAACATAGTGAGACTGCACTTCTATAGAAAATGTAAAAGTTAGCTTGGTGTGGTGGCATAAGCCTGTAGTCCCTGCTACTTGTTCCAACTGCTACGAGTTGGAAGTACAGTGAGCCATGATTGAGCCACTGCATTCCAGCCTAGGCAAAAGAGGACGACCCTGACTCAAAACAAACCGGCTAACACCTGTAATCCCAGGACTTAGAGAGGCCAAGGTAAGAGGGTTGCCTGAGCCCTGGAGCTCTAGACCAGCTTGGGCAACATGGCAAGACCTCATCTCTACAATAAATCAAAAATTAGCCCAGCATGCTGGCATGTGCCTGTAGTTCCAACTACTTGGAAAACTGAGGTGAAAGGATTGCCTGAGCCAGCCTGGGTGACAGAGTGAGACTCCAACTCAAAAACAAACAAACCCACAAATAAAAATAAAACAGCAACAAAAAAGAATGATCGAAAAACACTGTATGTAGATGAGAAAACAGGAACCAGTGAGTGTTCACTGTGTTTTTCTCTCATGACCGGATCATGGGGGACTTTTTCCCCTCCTTCTATTTTTCCTGCTATTCTTACATTTTAACGTGTCCATGTTACTTTTGCAATGGAAATAAAAAGAAGTTTAATTTTTAAATAAATCTACTAGGAAGAGAAGAAAAAAGAAAACCCCAAGGATGATCCATGACTTCTCTTTTTTATTTTCCTGTTCACAACGATAGCTTTTAAAAATCTGAGATAAAGTCTCACCCTCTGACAGTCCCAGGCATGACAGCTCAATCCCACACTTAGTGGTACAAGCCCTTTGAAAGGTCACACTATCTACCAAATACCATCCAGATATTTCATCCTTTGACTCAATAATCTACCCTGAAAACTATCCAACAAAACTGAAGCCTCTTTTCCAAGATGATATTTACAAGGGTGACAGCTCTAAAGATAAACAATCTGTCAAATGCTTAAGTGGCCAGGACCAAGCGTGCTTCCAAAACAACGGCACAACCATGGATAAAATGGAAGCCTGCCACTGGAAGCCACCCGCAAAGCTGATCCTGTAATCCAGGGTAGTAATGACAAATATAGTAACCAAGGAAAGGGAAACTCACACTGCTCAAGGGGGAAGCTGAAATCAATGAAAAGAGGACTCTGACCATAAGAAGTTCAACAATTCTTGAACATTATTTATCCTGTTTGAGTCAGAGTCTCACTAGAGTGCAGTGGCCCGCTCACGGCCACTCCAGCATCAACCCGCTGGGCTCAGGAGATCCTTCTGCCTCAGCCTTCCAAGTAGCCGGAACTACAGGCATGCGCTACCACACCCAGCTAATTTTTTGATTTATTGTAGAGACGAGGTCTCA